TGATTAAGAGAATCTGGAATTCCTAATATATTTTGGTTTCCTGAATTCTTTTCAGATGTTTCTTTTTGTTTGCCTTTAAGAAGTATGGCATTCAAGTTTTCTACTCTGTGTACCAATTATACATTGAAGTGTCTTACTTTGTCCTTCAACACAACTTCAAGGGCTCTGTCAAGTCACTTCTGCCATGGTGCTATTTGATTCCTATCTTTAATATAAATTCCTCTAGGGTACCACCTTTCCTGTAACATATATTGCTCCATGCAGGTGCTAAAATGTTGTTGTTTTTTCCACTTTCTGTCAAATATAGTGAGGGAATGTTTTGATTAATGATGGTTCTAGCATGAACTGACTGTTTTGAATTACTATTTTGGCATACTTTGGTTTAATTTTTGGCATAATTTGTTGTTAGTTGGATTTATGGCATAAAACTCAAAAAGATTTTTTTGGAATTGTAGTCTAAATATTCTCATGTCCTTGCAGCTCAGTGGCTCGATGGTTAGAGCTCTGGACCTGGAGTCAAGAAGATCTGAGTTCAAATTCATTCTTAGACACTTAATAGCTCTGTGTCCCATGCCTTGTCACTTAACTTGTTTACCTCAGTTTCCTCATCTGTAAGATGGGGATAATAATAATAATGATAGTAATAACTATGATGATGATGATGTCTATTTCCCAAAGTTGTTCTAAGAATAAAGTGAAATATTTGTAAAGTGCTTTACAAACTACTATACAAATGCTACCTAGCTAGGTGCCGCAGTGGATAGAGTGGATAGAGGGCTGGAAGTCAGGAAGACTCATCTTCCTGAGTTCAAATCTGGTCTCAGACACTTACTAGCTGTGTGACCTTGGGCAAGTCACTTAACCCTGTTTACCTCAGTTTCCACATCTGTAAAATGAGCTGGAGAAGGAAATGACAGACCACCCCCGTATCTCTGTGAAGAAAACCCCAAATGAACTAACGAACAGTTGGATGCAACTGAAAATGACTGAACAACAGAAGTTTTAAAAAATCAGTTGAGACATTGGTGCTGTTTTTGTCATGTGGTTCATTTTTAGGTATAATTTTGGAAGTTTTATATTCACTGAAGACTTTCAGACCTTGGACTCCTTAAATTTACCATCTTTAGATTTTGTTAGCTCCTCAGCTCCATCTTTTATTTTATCTAATCTAACCTTAGGAATGAAGTTTTTCTTGATACTGCTCTTCACTGGTCAGTAATACATCATTATGTAATTTGAAGTTGTGGATATCCTTGACAAAAAGCAGTATTAATCCCTTGATCATAACTGTCGAGATCTGTTTCCAACTTTGTTGTGATACTGTATAAAAGTATTCATGCCTTCACTGTTTCATGTACATGCTTGGTTTGTTTGCTTTCATGGTCAGTACTAACTTCCAGTAGGCAGGGTAGTGATATTTCTGATTGGTTGCTGTGTGTCTCTCTCTACGGTACCAAAATGCAAAGGAACACCACTTGTTGTACTGTATTCTATGTTAGGCCGATCATTGCTATTTCAAAGAGGGCCATATTATATTCATATCCCTATATCCATTTCTGAGAATCATAAGAATGGTTTCATTGTTTTGGTCCAGGACAATAGTGCTATAGTGGTCAATAGGTAATAGTGGATGCCTAATAAGTGCCGATCGATTGATTGGTTGGTTGATTAATTGAGATGATAATCCAACCAGTCATATAGCCTGGGCATGTGTCAAGATATTGGTTCAGGTTTCAAGATTCCTATTCATCCTTCACAGCTATTGTAGCACCTTCAGGGTTGCATACAGAGTTCCTACTGTATATCCCTTGTGCTCATTCCCTTACTTTGCCACACTACCTTCCCCATGACATGTTTGATGAACTTTAAGGATATTATTTTATTATTAGTTATATTGCTATGATCTCATATTTTTCAATTAGGTTCAGATACAAGTAATAATAATAACAAATAGCATATGTAGAGTATTTTAGGTTTTGCACAGTGCTTTACACATACAGGTATCTTTTTTTATCCTCAAAACAACTCTGAGAGGTAGGTGCTATTATTATCCCCATTTTACAGATTAGGAAACTTAGGCAGACTTTCCCGTGGTCACACAGCTAATAAGTATCTGAGACAGGATTTGAACTAGAATCTTCCTGATTCCTAGTCCAACACTCTATCCACTGCATCACTTGTTTGACAAACCATGCTAGAGAAAATCACTATTATGCTATTATCTTTTATTTAATATTCAAAGGACTATGACATAAGTGAACAAAATGACTACTTTTTGTATTTGAATAAAATTAAATGCATCCTCTGTAAGTTTATGGAAAGCATCCTTAGTACAATGCTAATAACAGGGGTGATATTCAACTCATCCTGTTCCCACATGATATTGATCTCCTTTGCTAGGTCTCTATATTTTGAAAGCTTTTCGTCCCATCTAGCATGGAAATTATGCATATACAGTATATGGTAGTATCTGTTAAAACACTCAAGTTTTTTATAGATTGGTGTTATGTCTGAGAAATTGTGGGAGGCAGTTCAGTCTGTGATAATGATCTGGTTCCAATATAGCTTATTCATTAAGTTCTCTAAGATATTTTGAAATTTGCTGATGTGTGATTCTACTTCATTTCATTCACTTCATTTCTTACTAGATACCTGCTAGATACTAAATTGTTATGGCCTATAGTAATACGTTGCATGGGTTTTCTTTCTTTCCTTTTAATCATTTCTTTGCCTATTCTATAAATTGATCAGACTCCTTAAGGATAACCTTTATTTCTGGTAGCAGTGACCTTGTCCTAAATTCCCATCATAAATTTCTCCATTCCACAAATAAATCCACATGATATGGCCATTTGTTCAATGCTCCTTTGCTGACATATTGTTGGCTAAGTTCATGTGGATACTGCCCATGGAGGATGTTTTGATTCTCCTCCTCAATCTTAGTTGTTTCATAGGCTCTAGCCAGAGGAAAACCACTCTTGGTTGCCCTCAATAATTTCAATGGCACATATCTGTTAGTTCAATGAAGTGATATCATCTGATAGTTCTAAAAATGTTTCTGTATGTTTTAAAATTTTATCATGCATTCTAAAAGTTCTAATCACTTCTCATCCTTTTTGTTTTCTTTTTTTTTTTGGTGAAGAAGGGTTAATCTTTCTATAACTATCTTAAGGTGATGGACCATTTGTGACTTAGTATTGTATTGGTTATTGTTAGAGTACTTTCCATATCTGTTCCATCCATTTTATGATTCTGAAGTTGAACAATAAGACTGAAATTGCATAGCCATTGTTATTACAAATGTATTCTTCCTATTCAGTGGTGATTTCAAGATGCCAGTAACATTCTTATCATGTTTAGCAACAGCCTTCTTCATGTGTCCTGCCCCCAGGATCCCAACATATTTGTAGGTATATCCTTCATCAATTAGTTTAATATGACTCCTGGATTCACTCCAGAAGCCTTCAGTCTTCATTATTCCTTGGTACACATTAAAAATTTTACATTCATCAGGTCCAAATGACATTTTGCTATCATTAGAAAAAGATTTCATGAGAACAAGAAGACATTTAATTTGTTTTTCAGTGCAACATAAAGCTTGATATTATCTTTGTGCATCAATAATTAGTGTGTTCAGTTTGACTCTTTAATTGAGTTCTATTTAGGGGCAATAACAAAGGGTTCCACCCATAATGTATTTAAAACCTCTCAGAAATGTGAAATTTTCTGTATATTGTTCTTCACATCATGGTGCTGGTGACATTTTCCCACATGGACATGAAATACTCTAATATTCTCATTATATGTGGTCTCTTTTATATATTTGCAATATCCAAATAAGCCATAGGTATAGAAGTGAATCAAAGGCTTCACAATAATTAAGAAAGGTAGTATGAATGTCAGGGTGATTTTGGCAATCTTGTTCGATAATCACTGAATTGATAATAAGTTGTTCTTTCCACTCCTGGGACATTTTAGCACATCTTTTTTGCTTCTCAAGCAATAACTTATTTACTTATGAATGTTTATAGGGTTTTTTTGTGATAAAAGTGATGAATGTTTTGTATAAAGTGAATAATTATATAATTGAACCCTATTTGGATGGGTCACTAGGGTTCTCATATTTTAATAATAGACATATAATGCCTTATGTTAAGGCAGGTGTTTATTAAAGTCCTATCACTAAACATATTTTTGCCTAATCATTCATTGAGATTAAGATTAAATAATAATGTTTTATCATTTCATCTCCCTCTATTCCCTACTGTGGGCAAAGACAGGAGAATTAAGGATGCACATACAGGAGGTGAGGAGAAGGTTCATTAAAGAAGTTGTAAATAATAAGGTCAAGGGCACCCTTTTGTCATTTATGTATTACTTAAAATTATTAAAGAAGGATTTTCAGGATTATTTTTTAATCTTAGGAAACTATCTTGTGATTTGGGACTGATACAGCCATTCAGAATATTTAATTCAAAAAGATCAATATCAAATAATGATTAAAATAAAATTGCTCAGTGACAGAACTGTAATAAAATATACCTATGCCAGTAGATAACTGGCCTTTTATTTCACCTCATGAGATGCATCATGGTGCAATTGAAGATCAGTGAACTTGGAGTCAAAAGCCTTAGGTCGCCCTTAGCAAGTAATGTTGTCTTCTGAACCACATTTTCTCCATCGATAAAATCAGAATATTTTGTGTATTGCCTACTTCACAGAACTGTTGTGGGAAATATGCCTGATAAACTTTAAAGAGCTAGAACAATGAGGTTGTTCTCATTATATATCTGTGTTGGCAAAAGAAAAGTTTACCCTGATGTCTGGAAAGTACTTGGCTGCTTAGTAGAAAGAAAATTTTGTCAGATTAAAACATTATATGAAAATATGGAAACTGCAGACTGTCCTGGAATATTTAAATTGTTTCATTTGTTTTTAATCCATTGAGTTCTGTGGTCTTCTTCCCTTTCTAATGTGATTCCTTTCTCTTCTCCTCCTAGGCTAACAGATCTCGAGACCTAGGTGCAACTGTCTACTGTGTTGGGGTGAAAGATTTCAATGAAACTCAGGTATGATCAGTGTTTTTCACAGACTATGACCAGTAGGCAAGGGCTATTTTAAGTGCTCCCACAGGCAGCTGCCTCCACTAAAACCCTGCTCCTATGTTTCATCACAGCACGGAGATGGCCTTAGATTCTCGAAAGCCATGTCAGTGGAGCACGAGCCCTGACAGGTCCTACCAAGCTGGAAAGTCTTTGAGTATGGGCCCAGCAACGGATTGTGTGTCTGTCATCCAAGGATCAGCCTAGCTAAGTGCTGAAGGCTCATCACCACATGGCTGGCCATTGGTGATGGATATTTCTGGTCATAGCAACTCTTTAAAGTATCCACTAAGGTGTGGAAGGGTTGAGGTCTATATCAGCCAAGGGAGCACCCACATCAGCAAAACTGTATTACTAGAATATAAGCAGTTAAATAAAATGAAAATATTGTGGAGAAAGAAAAATGGGAACAACCAATATGGAGGCTGGAATTAGACGGCATATGTTCCTTTTGATTTGGCAACTTTCAGATGCGTTAAGGAAGAATTTGTTTTGTGTGTGTGTGTGTCTTACGGATCCTAAATCATGAATACCTATGACTGTTGTATTAACTATAAATCATGCACATAGAATCATAAAAATCATAGCTGTAGTACTGCAAGGGGCCTCAGAGGCCATCCGATACAATTCTCTCATTTTACAGATGAAGAAACTGAGGCCCAAAGAGGTTAAAGTCTAGCCAAGAGAGCTATCAAAAGGCCTTCTTATCCTTAGGTTTATTTAAAATCTAACTTGTGGGGAGTAATTGGTCTGGGATGGTTGAAAGAAGGGCTAGGGTGTCCATCAGATGCAGGCCTAGTGCTCCTGGGTAGAGGGCAGGCACTGTGGCAGAGCCTTATACTTGGGCCAAAGACTTTAGCCTCCTCCTAATAACCTGCCAGCTATAATCGCATAAGGAAAGCAGAAAATTCTCGAGCCTAGCTCATATTAGAGCTGGAGGAGGTGAGAGGGATGCTCTATCAGTACATAGGAATAGTCCAATTCATTGACTAGCTCAGGGTCTACTGTGCGTGAAGTACTTGAAAAGAAACAAGGATAGTCAAGACTGGATGGGGTGGGGTGGGCCACAGTATATCACATCTTTGAAGGCCACTGGAGTTGTTGCTTTGGAATTCCCACAGGTTCTGAGAACAGATCTGAATTATTTCAGACAATTTAATGGAAAGCCTGACTCACAAGAGAAGATACGGTACATAGGGGTGGGGTGGACTAATAAGGAAGATGTGACCAAGGAAGAGGGGCACAAATATGGGCGGATAGTAATCAGAGTCTAGAGAAGTTATAAAAATCAAAAGTGTATAAATATTGGAAGTCAGAGTGGTATAGCAAAAAGTACATTAGATTTAGTCTCAAAGAACATGAAATCCTGTTGAGGCTCTGCCAACTTGTTAGGGATTCCATCTTGGGCAAGCCATTTGGCTCTCATCGTCTTCAGTAAAATGAGAGAACTAGACAAAACCTCCAATGTCCCTTCAGCTTTACTCTCCTCTTAGCCTATGATCAGAAGGTCCAGACAGATAGGATGTACAAAGACTAGGCAAAGAGCAACCAGAAAACATACAGCAATTACAGGAGCTGCTTCATGGGTCATGAAATAATCCGGGAAATAGCCAGCAATCTAGAGGGCCATAAGAGTTGGAAGAAGGCAGAGACATTTCCCCCACATTAGGCTCACCAGTGAGCAGAATATAATCCCAATTGAAATTTAGGTAGTCAGGATGACTGGATTTAGAGCCTGAGGGGACCTCTAAGAACACCTAGTCCAAGAGTGCTTAACCTTTATGGTGTCATAAACTGTGTTGGCATCTGGGGAAAGCCTATGGGTGGAGGCCTTCTCAGAAGAATGTTCATTGCCTACCTTTGTAATTGAAGGAAATGCTAACTTTCAGTTAGAGGTTTAATGAAAATAAAGATGTATTTTCCCCAAGTTCATGGACCCCAGATTAAGAACTCTAGTCCACCTCTCTGCCTCTGCTGATGAGGAACTTATTCATGTGACTTAGGTGAGAACCTGCTAATGAGCAAACTAAGTGACAAAACAGGGACGAGAGCCCAGGTCCCCTGACTCCAAATATAATACTTTTTCTATAATAACATTCAGATAGTAGTAACATACTTTTCTTTTGTGGTGGAGAGATCGCAATGAGGTAACTAAAAATTGGCCCTTCATTGAGGACTCCAGCTCCTAAAAAGATCTTGCATTGGGGAATACTTTAAGAATGGGAGCAAGAGGGAGAGAGGAAAGGGAGAGAGAGACAGAGACAGAAAGAGGAGGAGAGGGAGAAGGAGAAGGAGAAGAGATAAGAGAAAAAGAGAGAAAGAAAGTAATAGAGTTGGGGGAGAGAGAGAGAGAGAGAGAGAGAGAGACAGAGAGAGACAGAGAGAGACAGAGAGACAGAGAGAGAGAGAGAGACAGAGGGAGCTTTTTAAAGCACTTTTAGGCATTTTATGATTTTTAAGCACTTTTAAGTATTTTATTATGTGCCAAGCACCATGCTAAACACTGAGGATATGAATACAAGTAAGACAGCCCCTGCCCTTAAGAGCCTACGATCTAATAGCTAGACAAATTACATTCCATAGACAGGATACTTTGCTCAGGTTTTGAAATCCATATGAAATTTAATTCTCCTGTTTTTGTACATTCTCCCAAAGGGCTGTTTGAAACCTTGGATTTGGTACTCTAGCCTGACTTTCAGCTGATTCCATCCACCCAATGTATTTCTGTGCTAACAAAGGGAACAGTAGATTGTGATTTTAACCCCATCTCTTTACTCTACTATTTAGAAGAAGCATAAGAGCAGGGATGGAGATGCACAAAGATTAGAAATGAATTGTAAGAGGTGACCTAAAACAGAAGACTCACTAAAAAGAGGCTTTACTGTAAATGTTCAGGGTCCTGTTATATGATTGTCCATGATAGGGTCAGGAGGCTTGAATAATAGAAATTTCAGGGTCATTCGGATTAGTCTCTTTCTTTGCTTAACCCAATACTCTGCCAAACAGAAACATTTGAGCTATCCAAGTCAGTTCCTATGATGACTTAGCTCTCTCTAGGTGGAAGGAGAGGGTCCCCAATCATCTATAGCCTTAAAAACCAAAACCTACATTTATTTTAAAAATCTGCTCTGAAAGGGAATTTGAATCTGATTGAATCAAAGTTGCCAATGGGAATTTGGGTGAATGGAAGAAAAATAAGCCAACAGCCTATTCCCAACTCCATAAATACATCAAGTCAGGCCAAGTTTTTCTCTAAACAGGCCATTTTACTTCTGCTCCCAAGGAGAAAAGTATTAAAACAAGTGTCAAAATTGGAGCAGAACCCTTTCAACGTTGCCTTAGGGCCTGCCTGGTAAGCTCATTATCACTGATGGCTTTGTGGTTAGTTCCCAGAGGGCCACTGAAGGCCTCAGGTTCCTCCTCACTCTGAAAGGGGTCTGAGTCTCTTGAATCACACTGCTTCTCCCAGAAAGTTTCATCCAAACCTGACACATATGTATTTGTATATTCTTAGCTGGCTCGAATTGCTGACAGCAAGGACCATGTGTTTCCTGTAAATGATGGCTTTCAAGCTCTGCAAGGGATAATAGACTCAGTGAGTATGATGCTTCCCCTTTAGACTGGAGAACTGGGGCAGAGGGCAGGCAGGTTGGTGATTGGCCCTCTGAATATCTTGAGTTTATATCATTAGTCTAGATAAAAAAATTTTTTTATAAAAGAAAGGTACATTTCTTGATAGACTAAGAATAAAAAAGTATAAGGGTTTACTTTAGTCTTCTTTTCCTGTGGCTTCCTTGATATCTGTCTCTTCCTCTACCTCTCCCTTCCCCTACACCCTTACCTTTTCTTCTCCTGTAGCAATTTTGCCCTAATACCCCAAAAAAATAAAGAATGAGAAGAATAATGTTTCTAGCAGTTGTCCAGATGCAGGACTTGCACTGTGACTCTTGCAAAGGGATAGTTTTTATTTTTAGTTTCCATTTGGCTGATCTCAGTCTTTCTAGCAGAAAATGGTTATGGTTATTGCTGTTCAGTCATTTCAGTCATTCCCAACTCTCCATGACCCCATTTGAGGTTTTCGTGGCGAAGATACTGGAGTGGTTTATCATTTTTTTTCTCCAGTTCATTTTGCAGATGAGGAAACTGAGGCAAGCAGGATTAAGTGACTTACTCAGGATCACACAGCTAGTGACTGAGGCCAGATTTGAACTCACAAAAATGAGTCTTCTTGACTCTAGGCCCAGCACTCTATCCACTGTGCCACCTTGCTGTGGCTATCTGGTCATAATAACTACCATTTCTGTGGCTCTCCAAGGTTCACAAAGTGCCTCTCACAACAAGCTTGAAAGGAAAGTAGTGAAGTCGTCACTGGTCCCATTTTAAAGAGAAGGAAGCTGGGGCTCAGCTGTTAAGTAATATGCCCAGAGTCACACAGCTAGTTAACAAAGTTAGACTCAACCTAAGACCACATAACACCAAGTCCAGGGTTCCCCACTCCATGACTACAATGCACTCTCTCTCTCTCTCTCACACCTATGCACTGCTATATTGGAGTTCCCATCAGACAGTTAGGACTTCCAGCTAAGTTTCCATTTCATGCAGGTGGATGAAGCTTTGGTCTTGTTCATCTGAGGCATATTAGCCCTGTAATTCTGGTGCTGAGAAGGGTATCACACTCAAATGGGAGGAATTCAAGTTTAGAACTGAGTGAAGGTTCCATGTTTACAATCCTTCCCCTACATCCTTTGTTTACTGAGCAGCAAAGTTGTCTCGCTCGCATAAACTCACTTTCCTTTGGGTTTTTATTTTATTTTATTTATACTGCATGGCAAATGGGACAATGTATGGCTATAACCTCCCTTTCAATATTCTGTAAACATCGAGCCAGCACCCCTGGTTCTGTTGCAATATCAACTGGTGCCAGTTTGAAAGTTGGCAATCCAGAATCCTCCTAGCAACTGTCTAATGAAATACAGAAGAGTCCTCGCCTCTGCCTCCAGGTTCTGTGACAGAACCACAGCCAGTTTTTTTTTCTTTTTGGAGACTTCTTAGGCTCTGGGATTCTGGACTGAGTAAACATAGTTCTTCCACACGATAGCCTTTTAAGTAATTAAAGGCAACTCTCAGGTCTCCATTCCCTCCACCCCACCCCCAAAACTCCCCCCAAAGCTTCTCCAGGCCATACCAAGTTTCTTCACTGGCACATTTTCAAGTCTCCTCCTCGCCATCCTAATTACCTTTTTCCAGTTAAACTCCTTATTAGTGTCCAACCCAAAAGGTGTCTTGATAAAGCCAGACGCAACAGAACAAGCACCTACCTTGGTCCTGACCTAGACTCTTAAGAGTTTGGTATGATGTAAAGTTACTTAGACTTTTGTTTGGTGTTTGCTTTTTTTTTCAGGGTGGTGTAGTAGATAAAATGCTAGAGTTGGAGTGAAAAAGGCAAGGTTCAAATCTTGCCTCCAACATTATATGACCGCGAACAAGTTACTTAACTTCTCTCAATTTTCTCATCTATAAAGTGAGGCTAGTAATATCTCTAGGACTCACATGAGGCTCAAATTAGCGTGCAAACAGTACTTGCAGAACCTTAAAGTATTATTTGAATGTCAGTTTTTAACTATTGCTAAAGGTGACATCCATGTCATACAGTGGGTTCAAATTGTGGTCGAAGTTCACTCACTTTTTTTACAGGACTTTTTTACATGTGCTGATACCTGCAAAAGAAGGGAGAAATAAACTAATTTTCAAAAGGGGAAACTGAGGCATAGAAAAATTGGTTATCCTGAGGTCATGCAGGGGCAAAAGCAGACATTGATATCTAGGGTGTCTTCCACTAATGGGCCTCAGAAAAGCTGATGTTCCATTCTCAATTGATGATCTGGGTTGATTATGGGAAGGGAAAAAGTTTAGTTCTGGTGAGGACCCCCTCATTACAGAGCCCTTTCTGTTCTCCATCATCATCATCATCATCATTAGACGTTTATATAGCACCTATTATGTGCCAGGCTCTGCTGACCACTTCACAAATATCTCATTTGATCCTCACAACAACCCTGTGAGGTAGGCATTATTATCTCCATTTTACAGATGAGGAAACTGAGATAGGTCACTTAACCTGCCCAGGTCATAGAGCAAGCCTCATGTGCCCGCCTCCAAGGCCTTAGTAGATAATGGCAAACTTTATTAAAAGTATACCCTTTTTAAAGAGACATCAGACCTAAGTGACTGATGTCCTCTTCTATTACAACCCCAAGGGCTGTGATGAGTTCCTCTGAATACATGGCTGGGGTGATGCTTGGAGAGAACCATTTGGCGAGTCTGTATTCAACCCGTTGACTAACTCAATTGCTGTTTGACTCAGAATTCTTTCAGTGATGCAGTTAGGCATTTCTTAAGCAGTATCTAGTCCCTATTAGATGGGGATGTAGCAAAAGTGGGCCTCCTCTACCAATTGAAAGACCAAGAAGAGCTATTTTTTTTTTATAACTAGTATGGAACTTCCAGGTATAGAAACCCATAAACATTTTCACTTGGGGGATGAAACCTGATTGATCAGCAGCTTGGCTGACAAATTTTACTCTGATACCTACTGAGCTTGATTTGGTGTTAAATCTTATATCTCAACTTACTAGCAATGTGACCACAGTAAGTCATTTAAACTGAGTTTCAATTTAGATGAGGAAAATGCTTCATGAATCCAAAAGCACTTTAGAAATTTGAATTACTTGTTATTTATGTAGACCCACAGTTTCCTCTCACAGGGTAGAAACCTTCTCCCAGAGAGAAGCAGACCCCTAGAGCCACTGCCTGGTCCAAGTAGTGACCTATCCTGGATTTGTAATGTGGGCGTGTTGCTTGTATCCAATAGAGTGGAATTAGCCTGGAGTAAGCCTGGAATAAGGCAGGTAGGTGGTGGCATAGTGCACAGAGTGGTAGGCCTCGAATCAGGAAGATTCAAGTTCAAATCCAGCCTCAGGCACTTATTAGCTGTGTGACCCTGGGCGAGTCACTTTACACTGTTTGCCTCAGTTTCCTCATATGTAAAAGGAGCTACAGAAGGAAATGGCAAACCACTCCAGGATTCTTGCCAAGAAAACCCCAAATAGGTCACAGAGAGTTGGACACGATTGAAATGACTCAATAATAATCACAAAACTCAAGATTACATTGGCTTCTGTCGGATAGGTCTGGCCAGGGGCAGGGACTGAATGATGGGGCATGGGATACATGCCTAGTTTGAGTGGAGCAATCTATGACGGTATTACCTTCTGTCTTGAGGGGCCACAAGCAAGAGATAGGTCCTTCAACAATTTCTTCTGTGATCAGAGCAGATAACATAAGGTAAATGAGCAGGAGTCAAAGGCAGCAGATTTATTAAACTCTTGGAAAATCATCAGCAATGAGGAAAGATTAGGACCCAATGGACCAATAAGAAAATATGGAAGAAATTAAGAGTTTCAAGATAATGAGTATTTTAAAAGGCTTGAGTTCATGTAAAGAGATATGTTTCTAATTGACTCCTTCAGTGTGACCACAGCAGTTAGACGGCACAATAGAGAGGGTCGAGAAATCCCAAGTTCCAATTCTGCTTCAGGTTTTTACTAGCTGTGTGACATTGGGCAGGTCACTTAACATCTCTCTGCCTCATTTTCCACATTTATAAAAGAGGGATAATAATAGCACCTACCTCACAGAGTTGTTGTGATGGTCAGATGAGTCAACACATGTAAAGCACTTTATAAAAACTTAGTAAGCCACATAAATGCTATTAGTTATTATCATGCCAGAGTCATTTTGGGCTCTTGGGTTTGGCACTAACCTTGCTTCTTTTCCCAACTCCCTCGTTCTGTTGAATCACCTTCAGCTATTCCTGTCTCCCACCTGTCGCTGGCATTTCACACATTTGAAACAGCTGTTTGGCATCAGACATATTTAATCTATGAGGTTCCTGTCCTAAAGTTTTATAAGTAAATAATACTAGTGCCAGGGTATCTATGGAATCAAAAGCTTGAGTCATTTTGGCGAAGGGTTTCCTATTCACTTATAAAAAGACAGTGCCACAGCAAAAAAAAAAAAAAAAAAGAAAAAAAAGAACATTCCCTTACCTTGATAAACCGGACTTTGTTCATTCATTCCTCAATCAGTGGGTACCCACTTTTAGATTTTTGGAGGTTTGTTTTTGTTTTGTTTTGTTTCTGTTACCACAATAGATGCTGTTTCTAATATTTTGATTTATAAAGGACCTTAATTTTTGTCTTTGACTTACTTGGGATAATAATAATAATTTGCAGTAGTATATTATACTATTAGTATATTTTACTATATTAGTGTTTATACCATATGCACTGCATATATGCAGTATATACACTAATATATTATATATTAGTATATTTTACTATTATATTATGATTATATTAGTATTATTATATTAACATAAAAATTATTATTATTATTAGCATTTATGTGTCACTTTAAGGTTTGCAAGCATTTTCACAAATATTATTTAACTTTATTCTCATGGCAACACTGGGAGATATCTGCTATTATTATGCCCATTTTATAAATAAGGAAACTGAGGCTAAATAACTTGCC